AAAAAAAAAAAAAATGGTGGAAGACATGAATAGACACTTTACCAAAGAGGATATTCAGGCAGCTAACAAACACATGAAGAAATGTTCACAATCATTAGCCATTAGAGAGATACAAATCAAAGCAACAATGAGATGCCATTTGGCCCCAGCACTAGTAGCAAAGTTCAACAAGACAGAAAATAACAAATGCTGGTAAAGATGAGGAGAGATTGGGACTCCCATATACTGCTGGTGGGACTGTAAAATGATACAACCACTGTAGAAAGCAGTATGGCGATTCCTTAAAAAGTTGGAATTAGAAATACTATCTGACCCAACCATTTCATTACTAGGTATATATCCTAAAGAAGTGAGAGCCAGGACAAGAACAGATACATGCACACTCATGTTCATTGCAGCACTATTTACAATAGCAAAAAGGTGGGAAAAAAGTGCCCACCAACAGAAGAATGAATAAGCAAATTATGGTACATACACACAATGGAATACTATGCAACCCTAAAGAATAATGTAGAATCTGCAAAAGACTGCATAATGTGGATGAACTTGGAGGACATTATGCTGAGTGAAATAAGTCAATCATAGAAGGACAAATACTGTATTAGTCTGCTATTGCGAAAAGTCAAGGAAAGGTTTATATATGGAAGGAAATTTTCTTTGTTAGTTACGAAGGGCGGGAGGGGAGGCAACAATGCTAGACAGGTAGAGACAAGTATTGATTTGGGTGAAGGGAAGGGCAATTCACCAAGTGTGAGTGATCAACACAGTGGCATTCAGGAAAAGGAAGACAGAGAGGTACATGGGAGGTACAGACAACAAACATGAACCCTTCTACATATACAGTACTGTGTTGTCAGTGATAGCAAATATTGATCTAGGGTGGATAGATGGGTAGACAGGCTGAATGACAGGTATGTCTAGGCAGGAGGGAATGTGCCCATGACCATGTATAGGGTAGGGAGATGATGTATCTACAAGCATATTTGTATGTTCAGTAAGAATGTCCAGGTGTATAGTAGAGCTAGAGCTGACAAGGGACAAGGTTGTGGTGACTTTTGGTCATAGCCAGCTACTCAGAGGGAGTGAGTAGCTGGACCTGTGGGCTTGGAACCATGGTCCCAGGGGACATGAAGCTCAATCGGCATAACATAATGCACAAAAACATTGTTCCACATCCTACTTTGGCGAGTGGTGACTGGGATCTTAAAAGCTTGCAAGCAGCCATCTAGATGCAACAATGGGTCTCTCCTCACCCAGAACAAAGAAGAATAAGGACAACCAAAGATGCATGGAAACAGTCCAAAGGACTGATACACCATGTGATCCTCAGCCTATATGACTATGAGACCTGAAGAACTAGATGGTGCCTGGCTACCACTGTCAATCACTCCGAAGGGGATCTATGTAGGAGATCCTGAATAGAGTGGGAGAACAATATGGAACAAAACTCAAATTCATTTAAAAAAAAGGGGGGGGGGACCAGGTTTGCTCGTCTGATAGAGCCTGGTGGAACCCCTGACACTATGGCTCCTAGCTGCCCTTCAGGTCTGGAATTGAACCCATTCCTGTGGCATCCAGCCAAACAAAAGACAGGCTTAGGCATATGAGCTGAACATTTACATTAGGTAGATACACTCCTTGGAGAAATCGATGATGGGAGATAGAAGGGCTATGTATGCACAGGGAGACAGCTCAGGGGGCAGGAGGGCATGGAGGGAAGGACACAGGGAAGAGGTAACTATGGGGAGGAAGTGGGAGGGGAGCTTTTGCATTGTGAGAAATTGCAGTCAATGTCATGAGACAAAGTGTATGTGAGCTGCTGTATGGAATATGAATTTGCTCTGTAAACTTTCACCCAAATCACAATAAAATTAAAAAAAAAAATACAAAATCTTCTCACTGCCGTCGAGTCAATTTGACTCATAGTGACCCCTCCTTGGGTTTCTGAGGTGGTATCTCTATGGAAGTAGATGGCCCAACCTTCCTTCCAAGGAGTGGCTGGTAGCTTTGAACCGCAAAATCTTAGGATGAACAAAATTCAAGTTATTATAAAAATGCAGTATTATTTACAGTATAATAACAAGTTTGGTAGCCATATTTCTTCAGATAAAATTGCTCCAGGTTATCCATTTGCAGAATACAAATTTGAGATCGGAGAGTAAAGAACAAGTTCAGACTGGTTCAGTCATCGTTAATGAAGCAAAACCAGAACAGAACTGAATTTTTTAAAATTTGGTGAACCAGAGCAATAACTAGAACAGAAAAAATTACAGCACACAACCATACCATGTGTTAACACTAAAAGAAACAAAAACACATATGCACACAAACACAACAACCCAAAACAAAAAAATGAAACAGACAAAAAACCACAAGAGGAACAAGTCCACCTTCCTATTCCATCCATCCCCACCACAATTATATATAATAAGGATGTGGTTATTCTTTGGCAATTGAGAGCTCCCAAAGTAAATGAACAAAGAACACTCAATCAGATAACAAATGTATGTTAAATTGGGTAATAAATGTAATTGACATTGATTTGAAGCTATTGGAAATACCAATTTCCAGTCTTATTAACAAGAGAAAATATACTTAAGAAAATGCTATAAAACACAATTACCATATATATATATATATATAAAACCTAAAGATACCACAGATGAACTTATGGTGTTACTAACAAATTTTAATTTCTTATTTGGTAAATTAAATGATGGGGTAAAGGTGTATTTTGATAATTTACTCAATGGAAAATGTCATTCAAGAAGAAAAAGGAAGTGTGTTTTCATATATAGCAAATTACATCATTAGGTAATTTATAATTATTTCATATACAGGTTTTTTTGTTCATCTAGAAATTATAATCTGCTATTCGGTATATTGACTATGAGTCAAAACCTGTCTTCTGAAGTAACTATAGGAAGGAAGCTCAGCCCTTTAACTGCCACTTCTCACAGGCAGATGTTTTACCTGATTATATAACCAATTAGATAAAACATCTGCCTATGAGAACCATCACTTGATCGAGGGAACTGAAGTTGGCAAAAAATGTTTCACAAAGAGAAAAAGAAAATTGTTTTAAAATTTAATTTAAAAATACTTAATGTTCTATCTCTTGTAGAAATGAATCAGTAGTTATTTGATTGCTTTCTCCCACTGTAATTGTATAACCGGCAATTTGTGATTATGTTTCTAGATGTCTACCAAAAGCACAAAAGATCCATTGTCTCCCAGAGGTAAGGTAGAATTCTGGAAAGAACCCTGTGGTAGGGTGTAGGAGGTCAGCCAGTGAAATTCTATTCCTCGAACACAAAGAGGCTTACTTACCTCTCACAGAAAGTGTGCAGACAGGGGAGAACCTTGGGATTCTTGTACCGTTCCAGGCATATACTGCAGATCAGAAACTGCTTGTCAATCTGACGCACCACAGGACTTGGGATGTTGGTGCCTTCACTGGCCATCCTAGATCACTGACATGGGGGTCTGGTTGTCTTTGACCCTGCACGCTGCTGCTGTCAGACAGAAAAACAAAAAAAGAAAAATACAGTATAACCTATAAGTGCCAATCAGGAGCTTTGGTGGCGTAGTGCCTAAGGCATTTGACTGCTAACCAGAAGGCTGGTGGTTCAAACCTACCAGCCACTCCTTGGAAGGAAGGTTGGGCAATCTACTTCCGTAGTGATTGTCGTTGTTTTTGTTATGTGCCCTCAAGTCAGACCCCACTCATAGCATAGTGATACGGCCTCGGAAACCCAAAGAGGGGTCACTATGAGTCGGATCTGACTCAAGGGCAGTGAGAGAGTTGTAAGGGCCAATCAGTCACTAGCCCATTCATTATAGGCATTGTGCTATGAATACAGGTAGAATTCCAGTTGCCTTTGGGTTGCTTCTCTCTTGTGATCCCATATGATTCAGAGTAGAATTGTACTGCATAGGCTTTTCAATGGCTGATTTTTGGAAGGAGATCGCCAGGCCTTTCTTTTGGGGTAACTCCATGTGGACTTGAACCTCTAACCCTTCAGTTAGCAGTTCAGAGTGTTAACCCATTTGCAACACTCAAGGACTCCAGAATTCCACGTGAGTGTTTCAAAATGATCACTGCCGATTTCACTGCTGTAGAGGGAGTACAATCAGTTGCCTGTTGTTTGATTTTGTAAATCATTAAAATAATCTCATGTTTACTATGCAAACCATAACAAATTAAAAGAGGATATGTTATACAAAAAGATGTTTGCTGGTTTTCAAAGCAGTGACAGCTGAGGAGATAGATAGTTATAAAGCTAAGTCTTTAGCCATGACTATATTCGAATATATATTTTGCCTTTAGATTCTTATTAAAAGTGAATGTTTTCCCAATTACTGTATTATTAATAGGCAGGGTGGCAAAAATTAGAATTTACAATTAAAAACTTTGTATATAGTTCAGAATGTCTTCTTTAGAGCTAAAAATTTATAGATTTGGTACAAAAATACACTTTCCATGGGGCAGGCACAAAGGTTAGACATAGTCCCTTGAAAAAATAAATAAATAAAAAGAAGTATCAGCTCACATTCATGTACTGGCATTTAAGGGATTTGGTGGAGTGACTTAATTAAGAGATGGTTTCAAAATGTGAGAGATCTAACTCATGCCAGAAAAGAATTATAAGAGGATCCATGAGAGAATAAAGGAAGATAAGTCACACATAGAACATAGCTCCATTTACTACCTTAAAGAACTTCTGGCTTCTTTTGTGAGAGGGCAAACCAAGACTGAGCTAAAATACATTCCCTGATTTTCTAAATATTTGGTAAAGTGACCAACCAAAACTCACTGCCATTGAGTGAATTCCAATTCATAGCAACCTCTACTGGGTTTCCAAGGCTGTAAATTTTTTCTGGAAGCAGATTCAGAAAGCAGATGGTTCAAACCCACCAGCCACTCCTTGGAAAGAAGACTGGACAATCTGCTTCCGTAGAGATATGACATCAGAAACCCAAGGAGTCGCTATGAGTCAGAAATGACTCGACGGCAGTGAGTTTTGTTTTGTTTTGTTTTGATTTGATTTGATTTGGTTTCTTCCACAGAGTGGCTGGTGGATTTGAAGCACCGACCTTTTGGTTGGTAGCCAAATGCCTGAAACACTGCACCACCAGAGCTTCTTGGTAAGGTGACTACAGCCTCCAATTCCCAATGGAAATAATCTTTACAAAAAAAAGAAAGAAAGAAATTAATATACAGTATGAGCCTAGGCAGGAGGTTATATTATTATTCTCATTTTATGGAGAAATAAACTGAGGCTCAGTTAAGATGTTTCAGATGCAAACTCAGGTGTCTATTTCTCTAAAACTCTTGGGCTTTTCACTCTCTAAACTACCACACTGCTTTAGACCTTGTGTCACCATGGAAGGCTTGTTTACACATGGTACTTTAACTTGTCCTGGGACCTGGGAAATACATCCTATTTATAGGATCAACAACTCTACAGTTTTTAAAGGAAACATGTTTTTCTAAATATAAATGTTAGTTCTTATGCACCACCAAATCACCAAATTGTTGAAAAATAAGTCAAATGTTACTAAGAAAATTCTTTAATTTACACATATTTGAGTATAGTTACAAACATAATGCACACATTTTCCAACTTTATACCTTCTAGATAAATTCATCAAAAACCAAAAACCAAACTCACTGCTGTTGAGTTGTTTCTAACCCATAGCGACACCTCCTTGAGTTTCCGAGGCAGTATCTCTTCCTTCAGAGGAGCGGCTGTGGCTTTGAACTGCCAGCCTTCTGGTTAGCAGTCAAATGCCTTAGGCACTACACCACCAGAGCAAGGAGTCTGATTAATAAGCAGACAGAATCCTGCAAAAGCACCTGCTCTACAAAGTGTCACATTCAGACAGAACTCACTGCACTAATAAAACAGTGTAGGTGTGACATGCCTAATTAGCCAGCAGTATCTGCTAGACTTTCTATAGTGTCTCCACAGAGTTAGAGTAGAGAATGATATTCATTGATTTTATCAAATGTAGCTCATCTCTCTAAGGAGCTGAAAATGTTGGCACGTCATCTGCTTTTCTTTAATCATATCCCTATGACATCAGCATAGAGAAGGAATGAATTTCTGTCTGAAAGATAAGGAAACCAAAGCTGAGGGTTTGCCCAAGGTCATCCAGTAAAAGCAGTGAATCAAAAAGCTCAGGTTTTCTGCCTTATCTGATAAGAGGATGATATGTAGTCTTAAGCAAGTGTAACACTCCACTGGCTTATTCATTATAGGCATTGTAAAAGTGTGACTTAGAAAAACGCTATTGCACTCTTCACTTAAAATCAGTTAGAAATAATTTTGTTTTCAAGAGCTTTTAGTTTTCACATTACCCTTTGAAATAATTAAGAGTCATGCCAGATACTGAAAAAAGCAGAGAATACATTATATTGGATTTTACTAACTTTCTTTTTAACCTTAAAAGTTTGGATTTATAGCAAGGAAAAAAAAAAAACATTCATTTTAATCAATGACATATGTTGACGAAAATTTTCTGAGCCGACATTTTCTACGCTCTAAAACTAAAAATAAATATTTATTTCAATTTTATGATCATGATTGTAGTGGGTGAGAGCAAGTCTTTGTTAGTATTCTACTACACAGTAAGTTAATTAAGCTTACTCATTAACACTAATTTAAAATCATGACAATACCACAAATCTGTCACAAGTGACCTGTTGAAGACATCTAGATGTTTAAGACTCCCAGAATCAATACAAAACATTTCCAATGCACAAAGATCCTCACACCACGACGCTTTGCCAGGATAACGATCATCCACTGAATATAACTGGATGCCCACAATAAGAAGATAATTTGAATATTCCTAAAGGGATAATGTGCTTAGAAAGAACTGAGGCATCAACTGTGCTAATAAGCACTGTGGGAAGTCTAAATGTGCAACGAAGAAAATACACAAAATATACAACAGCCTTTAATCAAAGTGGTTGGCACTACCAGTGTTTGGTCTCCTTGACTAGAAAAGCAATAAATATTTCCTAGACTACAGCCTGGTCTCCTTTCTCCATCTCAGTTTCTGAAGTGTCAAAGACTGGGTTTAAATAACCAGCAAAAATAAGTTCACAATAATTAAGGAGATCCGAATACAGAACTCTTCTTCTGAAGATGTTGTTGTTATGTGCCGTCGAGTCGGCCCCGACTCATAGCGACCCCTCCTTGGGTTTCCGAGGCAGTATCACTACGGAAGTAGGATTGCCCAACCTTCCTTCCGAGGAGTGGCTGGTGGGTGGGAACAGCAAAATTAATTTCTGGAGAGACACACGTGAAAACATACCTGGGGTGGACTTTTGTCTCTGATGGAACCCGAATGTTCTTACTACAGGAGAGACCATCAGAGACATTGACAAAAGGCAATAGAGAGGAAATGCTGGAGAAGGGATGACAGGAAGAGGCATTTAAAAACTGCATGAATAGCCAATTTTGATATGACATTAACCAGCTGTAAGAGCTTTTCTGTGAGGAGACTCGCTGTGTGGAAAACAAATAGCAACGCTGATTACACAGGTGCTTACCCCCTCCTCCAGTTTTGCTCACGTGGCCTTCTCAATCAGGCCCTACCCGGACCATTCTGTTTACAATGGCAACTTCGCCAATCACCTAGCACTCTCTAGAGGCTGTCGCAGCTATATTCACTGCCAACTCATAGCGACCCCTCCTTGGGTTTCCGAGGCAGTATCTCTACAGAAGTAGATTGCCCAGTCTTCCTTCTGAGAAGTGGCTAAGTGGCTGGTGGTTTTGAACCACCAGCCTTCTGGCTAGCAGTTAAATGCCTTAGCACTACACCACCAGAGCTGCTTGGAACACAGTAGACACTCACTTTTTTTTTTTTAAATGAATTGGTCTAAGAAATATAACATGGAAAGAGACTCAATCACAGTAGCAGAAAAGAGAGGCCATTTGCTGAATTACATGATAAAAAGCATGGTTGTCTCCCCAGGTGATATTCTAATACTTAGTGACATAAGCCATCGTCCAGAGAATGGCACATTCTAATATGATCAAAAACACAGGAAAAGAAATTGAGATCTACCAAGGGAACATATTCATGGAAACAGAATGCCTAAGAAAGCTGACACACAAATTTCTTAGTAACAAGAGTCTATCAACTAATCTCAGTTCTTTGTGGGAAAAAAATTGTGCAACAATCACATACCAAAATCCTTGAGCACCAAAAAATCCTACCCCAGCATTTTTCTCCTCACATCATCTTTATTTATTTATTTTTTTCTCCTGGCTCACTTTCTCAAATCTCCTACAATTTGGTGGAAATTACCAAGTGGGAAAGAAGAACTTGATAGCAGATGGAATGAGAGAAAAATGACCGAGTGTACAATTCCAAAGTTGAGACCATATTTCCCACACATTATACCATCTAGACCAGCCAGCTAGCCAAACTCTTATTGCTGACACCAGAGTGAAGAAGAGGGGAGAGAGTGGAGAAGAGAGGCCAAGCTGAAACC